TTTACAAAGAAAAATTATTTCTCCCTCTCACTCTATAACATAGGTCCAAGGATGTGATTCATGATGATTCAGCTAGTTCACAGGTGTTTCTTTATGAAGTGATCTTAGCAAACAATGCTTGCATGTGGTTGCACAATTCTAAGCATTAAGTCTTGAGGGCAAAAGAGCAACTAAAATTAGGTGTAACACATCTGTTTTGAAAACCTTTCCTTTATTTAATATATTTATATGCTGCTGACTATCTTTTAAAATAGTTTACAAGAAAAATAAATACATTAAAATACATGCTATACAACAAAATACAATCTTATGTTTAGCAGAAAAAGGCCTAGAATTGCCCAGTAAAACAGCAATAAAATAAATGAAAACAATGCAGCATCATAATCACAATCAGATGGGGCAGGACACTTACTTATACAAGGTCTAGCTAAAGGAGCAGGTCTTTAGACAGTGCTTGAACCAGTTTACAGTTGAGGTCTCACAAATATTAGTGGGGAGCCAATAAGGTGGGTGCCACTGCAGACAATGTTGTAAGTTGCAGTCAGATGGAAATGGTACCATGTACATTGCATAGGCCTGTATGAGGGAAGACAATGTGCCAGATAACCTGGTCTCAAGTTGATTTGGGCTTTCTATGCCAACAGCAAGACCTTGTACAACTTTCCCAATACCTGCTACCTGATCCTTACAACTGGATATTGTACCTGGGATGAAATGCATGAAAAGCCTGTACTCTACCATTGAACTATGACACTCAGGACTTGCTTTCTGGGTCTCTTTGGATGGTTCCATTCTTCTGGCTACTCAATGTATGTGCACTGTATTTGCAAAATCAGGTACCTCAAGGGTAGACTTCCCAAACTGATGCTGTACTCCCAACCTTCCTGGCCATCTGCAGGGCAACATATTGGGGAATACAGATCTAGGGCAAGCTCAGAGATTAAAACTATAACAAATTAAAACTACACTTAAAAAGAACACTTGCAGCACTGAACTCTGATGGTTCCTGGGGATTTCTGAACAGGTGGATATGTAGAGACTTTTTTAAAAAGAAAAAAAAGCAACAAATGTGTTAAAGGACAGACAGAATAATAAAACTGAATAAATGGCAAGGGATAGCAAGCAGGAACCAAGTCAGTTGCAGAATACACCTTTCCATGCAGAAAAGTCTAGACTTGAATCTTTAACATCTGCAGTGACAAAGGCAGTGTGGAGACATCTCAGTTCTGCTATCAGACACTACTGAACTAGTGCTCTGTCCTGCATGTATTCAAATGCATTTCAGACATCTGTTCATAATGCTAAAGGACTGTCTTTGCCATAAGCTGACATTGGCGTGCTGGTCATTCTCTCACCTCAGAGAAATGTGAAAGGGGAGGGGCAGGAATGGTAAATGGACAGCTTAACCTGAGAGCTACACAGGTATAAAAATCTGAAGATGAAACTGAGATATCCCTTTAGGATCACACTCATAATGATAAGTTATTAATACAAAACCATGCTCAGTAATTACTAAATCACCATCATCGTCAATAATCTAAATCATTATTGATGCATGAAGTAACATAAACAATTATGTAAACATAAATAATAAATATAACTTTCATCAAGACAGAAAAAGTTATTTCATATATAGACTCTACCAGGTAAGAGAGATATTTATGGTATTATTGCTATTTAATGTGAATAGTGATTGTATACATATATTTAATAACGGTAACTTGCCCAGAGAGCCTGAGGACTAGCAGGTGGAATAGAAATCTAATAAAATAAATACTTATTGCAATAAGATAAACATACAATCTTTTTAATATCAGCTGGGATTGCAAAAATATCACCTTATGTTCTCAGTAGGAATACCTGGATAATTATCATTCACTCTGTCATGACACACACTGCTTATGGATATTGGATGGATGGAATTTATCCAAGAGCCAAGGTCATAATTCAAGAGAGTCTTTCTTCATTAAGTAATAATATACTGGCTTCTGCTAATGAACAATTAGTTTTACATATTTGGTGGTGCTGGTATGATTGATGGGGCTCGTCCTTTCCATTTCTTCCATCCCGTTTGCATGATATCTAGCTGCCTCATGCTCCATCGGCCAATCTTGTGGGCAGCAGATTTTTCATTATTCTCTCCCACACCGTTTTAGTTGCAGGGAAGGAAGTGCTGCGCGCCAGCTCAAAGCAAATGCCATCAGGACCTGGTGCTCGACCGAGCTGCAAAGCCTCTGGCCCAAACTAGCACAGGGAAAGCTTAGGTGGTTTGGATTGCCAACAGCAGTGGCTTCAATAAACATGTCTAAGCACGCCTAGTGTTGCATCCTAAAAGTCTCAAAGCTCCCTTTCTCATCGAGTTTATTTCATTGCAAAAGGCTTGCGAGTGAAAAGGAACAAAAATACCACCAGGGGGCATGTTTAGTACTAGCAAAATCACTTCCAGGTTTATTATTCTATCTACATAATTGCAGCAGCTTCAGTTCACTAACAGTTTTCACAGTGTATTTAGCAAAGAAGGTTACAGTATCTCCAAACTGCTAGCTGATTATATTATTTGCTTTTTGTTTACTGCATATATTATATATAGCAAAGAAAGAAACATTCCCCCACCCAGTTTAGTATTCTTAGGCATCTAATGGCAGTGCTAATTACAAGTGACAGAAGCTCTTAAGGGTAAAGACTGATTACATGTACTGTCCATATTTGTTTCATAGGTCAAACCAACAGCCATAATTGATATGCTGAACTAGAGAATATGAATCAGTGTCCATTAAGGGTTTAATATCTTAAAAAGGCCTTAAATATCTTCTGGGATCAGACATTAAGGGCAAAATTGTAGGCATGTTTAGACAGAAGATGTTGCACAACTCCTATAATTTTCCAGTCAGCATGGCCAACTGGGGAATTGCAAATTGCAGGAGATGTTTAAGCATAACTAACTTTTATTGTTAAAAATTGTGCCACACTGAAATGACTGGATATTCCTAACTCAAAGTGAGACAGTCAATTTAAGTGGTTTGACCATTTAGGGCACCAAATTAGACATGGTTCCACTCTGAGGTGCCACAGCATAGACTCATGAATTTAATGCTTTATGAGGAGTCAAGGCATTTCATAAAGACCCCAGTCTAATTTGGCTCACCCAAAATGAAGTATTCCTTCATACTGCTCATATGGACTTCACTTGGATGGCTTTAAAGGGGGTAAGACAGATTCTTGGAAGATGAAGCTATAAAGGGCTAGCCATCATGATGGCTGTTTGTTACCTCCCGTCTGGGAGGCAGGATGCTTTTGCATGTCAGCTGCTGGGAAAGGACAGCAGAAGAGGGTTATTGCCTCCTGTCCTGCTTGTGGGTTTGCCACAGTCATCGGGTTGACCACTGTGGAAAACAGGATGCTGAAGTTGGCAGAAAAGTACTTATATCCAGCAGGGCTCTTCTTACACTCACAATGATGTATACTTTTGCTTTTTAACTCTCATGGCTGCACAGATGCTACCAACTGCTGATTCAAGCTTCTTAACAAAATTTATGCCTGCGTTGTTTTTCCTCATGCAATAGTCCCAATCTTCCTTTCTGGATGATTGTGCGATGCCCGCCGACATTGAAAATGTAAGGACAACAAGGATTTCACTAAGCAACACCAGGAGGAAAACTGTTTAATTTGGCAGGAGAGTTGTTCTTAGTCAGATGTCTACCTATTTGCCAGTTATGGAAACTAACACCCCATCATATGGGACTGGCACAAACCAAGATGCACTCTGCTGTTGCAAATGAATTTTAACAACACAGCTCCACTTCACTTTCCAGAAAGCCCACTGCTCTAAGTAAAGGGTAGAACAGACTGGCATCAGCTTCCCTGCAAGAGCAAACCTACTCATTGGAGTCCATGGAAGATATTCTGCTATCTCCCTTCCCCAAGCCAGCAAGAGGGAATGAAAAAGAAAAAAAAAAAAAGCAGCTCTCTGTTGAGAACTTGGTTCGAGTGCTTTCCTGGAGTGAAGGAACAAGGTGTTGTTTTGGGCTAGCTTTACTACCCTTCTGCCAGATCTTGTGACCTATGCTTGCAACAGGACAGAAGGACAGACTGCTAGATGTACACACATATTCAATTGTTTACATGCCGAGTGTTTCTTTCAAATATTAAGACTAGGAGGAGTGGAACCCCAGACTAGTTACTCTGAGTGATGCAAGTCATGTATTATTTCCTTGCTGCAGACGCTTTGTACAATGTCCTTAATGTGAAACATCTTTTCCTTAATGAACTTCTTTGTGGTATTCCCTCCACAGTTTTTCACATTTCTCTCAAATTTTCCAGAGGAGTTGCAAAGCTTACCAAAATAGTTGCTATTAATGTTATCCCATTCCAAATTCTAATTGCTTTTATAGGTTACTTAACATCAGAAATGTATTCTTAAGCATTTTATTGCTTATAATATCTGCTAATAATTCAAGGCAAGTCCCAAGGACAATGTTAAACGTCGAAAATAGGTAATGAATGGTTTGTCTAGACAACGGATGCGGACAGCGCTGTTCATCCACTCTCAGCTCTGCCATCTGTTAACAGCTTTGATAGCAAGAGGAAGGCTTGTATAATGTCTACATCTATTATATTAAGGAAATCTTAATTAGTCTTGTCTAAACTGAGATAGCTATAAATGTTAAAATCCTATCAATACCTATCTATGGATGAAAAACAACACCTTAATGGTGAATTAGGTTTGTAAGCATGTCAAGAAGAGTTCCGTTTTCGTTCAATGCATGTAAGCAGCATAAATTACTGATACTAACCAAATCTAGTTAGGGTTGCCAATTCTTCGCATGGCAGAGCCCCAGTGCCTTTCAGAGTTGGCTTACAAGTAGAAATGCAACTGAAAAAGCTGTATCAGTATACTGGGAAAAGCATCTCCTGCTAAATGTAAATTCGTCACATTACTGTTAAAGCATGGTTGCCATTAAAAAGTTAGTGATCCAATATGAGCAAGATATAATACTCACACGATCGAGCTTCTGCCAGAATTCATCTCCTTTCTCCATGTTTCGCAAACTAGGTGGAATGTACCAAAAGCAAATATTTGCATACTCCGGCTTAAAGAAAAAAAAAAAGTTGTCAGGGCACCAAAAGGAAATTTGCCATTCTCCTCACTGTGTACAAACAGGACTGCCAATATGGCTAGAATGCAAATCTTATCCTAAGATCATAGGCTCAGTAAGTGGCTTTGGGCTGCCAGTCTTATTTAATATATACATGTAGAACAAAACTGACCATTGCCCTGTTTCAGTTCTTTCTGCAGCTCTCTCCTAACCACATTACTTTGTAGGATTTTTATGTGTTTGTTAGATTTATATCTCACCATTCCATCTAATTACTTTCAAGGCTGAAATCTATGCTATTTATTGTTCCAATTTTAATATGCACCAAACAATAGCCAAAGAACTTATGAATGTAAACCAAAGATGGGCAATCTCGGGAAGTCTAGGGGTAGCATTCCTCACTCCACAAGCCAAGCTTCTGTGTTGCTGAAATCTGACAGCTCAGCAGCAGCAGCCAACCAAACCAAATGAATAAAAAATGGGTGGCTTCCCAAATTTCAGCAGCGTGGCACACAGTACATTAGAGGCTAAGGAGATGCATGTAGCTTGCAGGCCATGCATTTTCCACCCTTGCTGCAACCTTTGTTGGAAAAGGGAATTTGATTGGAATAGGCTTATTTTGTTAAGTAACCATGGCAGTTATAACACACTTCCCCCCTGTACAACACACACAGTTCTTTCTCAACACTTTTGATTAAAAAGGGAGGGGGATCAAAATGGGGGGTCGGGCGAGAAAAGGGAAATAACTAGAGCGCACTGTCGTTCTTCCTAAATGTGAATCCTCTCCCTCAATTACAGTTCTAATCTTCCTCCCAAGTGGGCAGAAACTACCAGCTGTGCTAAATTCTTTCATGAAAGGGCACTGGTTCTATTCATAATATCATTTTCTGCCTTCCTTCAAAGAATGTATTAAATACAGTTTAATCATCAAGGAGAATACAGTTGTCAGCAGGAAGAGATCAGCAAGCTTGCCACCTGCTGCTACAAAATGAGATGAAGTTAAGCTTTTTTTGTGGGCAGAAACAGGCCCAGGTATGCGTTAGGTGAAAACCGAACCAAGTTTTCAAATGATTCGGGAGAAAAAGAACACTTCCAGATGAGCCCACTTGCCCTGCCTCAAACACAAGGGGCCCGGTGAGTGTCATCAAGGAAAGAAAGACCGAACAACTGCACAATGCTTCTTGATTGGTAGCAGTAGGAGCTGCTGATCTGGAAGCATCCGAAAAGAGAGAAGCAGCATCTGACTTCTATGAGGGACAGCCCACTATTGGATTATTTCAGGTAAAATCCTATGCATGTTCCAGCAGAAAAAAGTCATACAACTCCCAGGATTGCCTAGAATTTTAGATTTTTTTTCTGTTTAAATATATACAGCATTGTGCCCTTGGACTCATGGGCTAAATTCCTGCCATTCTGAATAAGCAATGTTTCTTATAGAGCAAACAAGCTAGGGATATCATTTCACAAACAGGTTATTCATTCTCTCCCTCCCTCCCTCCCTCCCTCCGTGTGTGTGTGTGTGTGTGTGTGTGTGCGCGCGCGCGCGTGCTTGCCATAAGGCAACTGTCAATTCCCTGACTGAATAAAACTAAAAATACAGACTGCCATCACCGGATGTTCTTTTATCTCATTTCAGGTTGTTCCCTAGCCAAGAGAGACTATCATGGTTGAAGATAGCTTCGCATACCCAAGCAATCAGAATACAATTATAGTTTATCACCTAGAGAAATCCCTTGTCCTATCACAAAGCAGTTGCAGTATGTTGACCCTAATTCTTTCCTCAGGGTACTTCTAGACGCTGCTCTGAGAAATGAAGTTAAAAGGAAAACAGCAAGTACTTCAAGAAAATATATTAGAACTGCTGCTACTTTGGCATCATTCTTTACTCTGAATATATGAACTGTGGGTGCAGAATTCAGTGCCTGATGATCACCCACAAAATGCTGTGACTAGAAACACACTTGCGTCCCTTCATGTCTTTCCCTATCTTTTTCTTTATGGCAAAGGGCTCCTCCAGTCCTTTAAGAAGATCAGACCAAGGGTTCGTCTACACCAGCTTCTTGTTCACACTGCCACCCACAGGATCCCGCAAGAAGAACAGGAGTGCAACAGCACCTCCCCACCCAAATTCCTTAACACTTGGGGTACACAGGCATGCAACCTCTAATACTGGAGGGAGCACACAGCCTTCAGGAGTGGCCAACACTACTTCCTGAGGCAGTCTAACTATGTGCCATGTGAAGAGGTATTCCTTTTATCTGTCCTGAAACTCCCACCAATCAGCTTTATGGGATGAACCTGGGTTTTAGTATTATGGGACAAAAAGGTCTCCTCCTCTACTTTCTCTGTACCATTCATAACTTTAAACAGCTCTATCATGTTGCCTTTATTGTCCATTTTTCTAAGCTAAACTATCCCAGTTGTAAATGTTCCTCATAGGAAAATTGGTCCTTAATCTTTACACTTGCCCTTTTCTGCACTTTTCCCAGATATACTATACCCTGTTTTAGGCGTGGTGACCAGAATATCATACACAGTATTCTAAATGTGATCACATCACAGATGTTTATAAGAGCAGTATGATATCGGAAATTTTATTTTCAATTCCTCTTCTAACTATGCTTAAAATGGAGTCTTTCTTTCTTGTGGTATCCAAATTTATTTTATTTATTTATATTGCGATTTATATCCTGCCTTTTTCCTACAAAGGGCTCAAGGCAGCTTACATCATTCTCTTCCTCCACCTTATCCCCACAACAACAACCCTGTGAGGTAGGTTGGGCTGAGAGTCTGTGACTGGCCCAAAGTCACCCAGTTGGCTCCCTGGCAGAGCGGGGACTCGAACCCGGATAACCTGAGTCCCAGTCCCATGCTCTTCACCACTACACCACACTGGCTCTCCCTAACCTTGTCTACACAGTTGGAACTATTATGGTTTTTGTTTATCTTTATCATCATCATCATCACCATCTTTTGTATTTTCAGCCTGGGTCCCACTTTCTGTGTTTTGAGTTTTCAAAGGCTTGTGCTAAGAGATTTATATGCCTTCTGGTTTTTGAGGAGTTTGTATGAAAATTTATTAAGAATGTCCCTCAAACATCCTAGGGCAATTCTGCAGACAAACTGTCTTGTACTGACAAATATTCCTATAGTGATGTCACTGCATCAATTAATGTTGCCTGGTGAAACTGCAACACAGAAATGCTACCAAAAACATCACATGACGAGAGCACCCAAATTGTCCTTTCCTAAGTACTTTTAACTGGCCTTAATTTCTGAATGTCTGCACAGATACTTAACCCTCTGCTTGCACTTATAGAGTGTCAGGCGCCTGAACCAGAAGATCAAAACCCAGGTCATTCCAGAGCAGGCTTCATCTATTAAATCTCCCCACTTCTGCTGCTGCTGCTTTTCCAGGACTCCACTGGATTCAGATCTAGCTTGCCAAATGTCTAGAAAACCTAGTCATATATGTTATTGTCAGCAATTTACTGCCAATGACTGAGGTTGTAAAAGCCACCCTTTCCTGGCAGAGAAATGGCTTTGAAAGCGTAAGTTGTAAATTCAAAGTTCAGGATCTCAAGCAGCAGAGATGGGATGGAATGGAATTCTCCGTCACTAGGTTGGATGGATCAGAGAAGACCTGATGTACAGGGTAAGACAGAGTCTGCCCTGGAGTAGAATTTCTGGTTAGCACAAAGAACACGTACCATTGCTGATACCCTTACTCTCTTTTGCTTACAGTTTGCATTATTGTATGTTACCAGAAGTCTGACCCAAATATATACTTATTCAACAATGCTGATCAGCCCTTGGTTCACACACAGATGTGATTATAAAAACATTGTGCAGGCTTCTACAGATAGCAGTTTTGGGTAGCAATTGAGTTCACAATGAATTTACAACAATCATTGTGCTAGACTCTAAATTACTCAGCAAATATCTTCATGGAAAACCTGAAACTTCCTATTTTTTTAATATCTCATGTGATGCTTCATTCTATTGGCAAATATACACCAATGAGTGGACTTGTCTTAAATTTGGTTTAAAAAAAGTCAAGAGAAAACATGCAATATATATAGTACTACCATAGCTGCAGCAAGAGTAGAGTAGCGCATTTGTTTCCATATTCAGTTACATATTACGCTATTACTTACATCCTAAAGGTCTCCTCTCCTCAACTCAAAGCTGTGAGCTGGCTGATGATATGAAATACTGCCTACACTCCTTGGATCAAGACTTCCAAAATGTTTGTTGCAAGCTACATATACAATATCAAATTGCCTTGGCACAAACCTACCTCTAGCAGCAGCTGGAATCCTTCTCTCTTCTTAATTTCATCCACTAGGTATCTGCAATTAATTATATATAAATGAATATGTGTAAGCATTAACTATTTAATTCTAAGCTTATATAGGCTGCCTAAGTTTTCCAAATATGAGATTATATCATCCACACTTTTCTAAACCCAGTCAGTGCTAACTATCAATTAAAATTGATTTGTAGCTATTGGCTTACCAAATCATACTAAATTTGTGCACCCACATATTTGCTTTGGATTTAACCATAGATTTAATCCGCCAGTTCTCATTCTGTCAAAAGAAAACTGCTCCAAGAACTAGGGGTAATTTACTTCTCCGAAATGAAGTTTGTCTGATGGCAGGGTTTGCAAGAGTACCATTAGGGGAGATCAAAAGGCATCTCATTTGGCACTCTGCAGGGTGGGACTCAAAAATTAGTCCAAAGTAATCAAAACGATTTGCAGAATAGCTTAGTATGAATTGCCAAGTTACCTGGGCCATAACCATGAGAAGGTCTAGCATCTCACAGGGGTATTCCAGGCCACCTAGAGCTTTAATAAAAGCTTAACAACTCTTTCATATAAGGAAAAGTGTGCAGGTAGTATTCTGCTCAATTCCTATCCAAGTACATCTCCCTGCATCTTCCAGTGGAGCAGCCATCAACTGCAAAAGTACTGCGATGCCTAACAAACATCTGGCACTTCTTTTCAGTCTTAACAACGTGTTAAAAACTAAAATTCACAACATGTTAATTTTATTAGTATGGCTCAACACATTAATATGTTTGAAATGTATTTATTTAGTCCCATGTTTAGGTTTATACTGTTTTCTAATTCAGTCCACCATCAAGACTGGCTATGACCTACACATGCTTAAATTATCTCATTGTTAAAGCTGTGGAGGGCTAAAAGAGCACCCCCTGAAATGTTAAAGCACAATTCAATGGTGCTACCAGCTTCTACTGGGGTCCTTTTTTTCAGATAACCAAAGAATGTTAAAAAAAACACATGTTAAAAATGGATAGCCTCAGTTGGAAGTGTATTTACATAATAAGGGAAATGTTAAAGAATTAAAAATATACAGCCCAGCATAAGCCAAAAGAGCAATAGTTAGAAGATGAAGACAAAAATCCTACAATCCTACATCTGGGTGTCCCCACAAAGATGAATATTCTGCAACCAAAAGTAGCAAAAGAAAAAAGCAAACTTTTCTAATGAGAATTATGATGCTTTCAGATGAGGTTTTTATTGTGCCATTGTCTGCCTCTTTCACAAAATTTTACAGGAGGTCCAATTGTCTTCCATTTGGAGCACTCCCTTGTTTTCCTAGCACTACTTTTACCTTACCAAAAATGCATTAAGGAGGAAATTATAGAAAAGCTACATTATGTGTCCTTTGATTGAGGGCACTAAAAGCTCTCTTACAGTAAGTCAGGATTAGGCAATTTAGTGGCCTTGAATACCTTTCCTGGCACCTACTGATACACCACACTCCTCACTTAAAAACAATCAAAGTTTGCTTGTTCCCAACTTCAAGTACAAGCTGATGGGATCTGTGCTAGCAGTAAACGACCAAGAAAAATCCTGGTCTGCGTTGGATGGCTGGATACAAATATCAACCCAGTGTGTGGCTGCTGTGAAAAAAAAAACACCATGTAACGCGTAATTGTCAAGCATTGTTGTGAGCTATCCAGAGGCAAAGAGTGATGGGTGGCTTAGAAATATCCGAAATAAATAAAATAATTAGGAAAGGAATTTGAAATCAAGCCGCCAATATCACACTGCCCTTATACAAATCCATGGTGTAACCACGATTGGAATGCTGTATATAGTTCTGGTCACCACACTTGAAAAAAGGGTAGTGCAAGGCTGGAAATAGGGCAAAACAAGCAACTGAAAGGATCAAGGGGCTCAGCAATTCTTCTATAAGAAAAGGTTATAAAATCTGTGTTTAGCTTAGAAAAACGGTAAGGGAGACCTGATTGTACAAAATTATACATGGTGTGATGAAGGTAGATAGGGAAACCCTTTTCTCCTTCTCCCATAAAACTAGACTCCAGGGTCATCCCATAATGCTGTTTGGTGGGAGGTTCAGGACACATGGAACAAAGTACTTCTTCATGCAACACATAGTGAAACTGTGGAATTCAATTCCACATGATCTAGTGAGGGCCACCATTTTGTATGGCTTTGAAAGGGTAGTGGGCAAATTCATGAAGATAAGGCTATCAGAGGTATCTGTCCTGATGGCTATATGCTGCTGCCAGTGAGCCCAGTCTATGTCTAACATTTGAGGACTGTGCACACTAGTGGCTGGATGGGGCAAGAGGGTGTTTTTGTAAAAGCAGGTTGCTTACCTGTAACTGATGTTCTTCGAGTGGCCATCTGGGCATCACACATATGGGTTGCTGCGCCTGCACAGTGCCTAGGCCGGAAGATTAGCAAGCTAACGGTTTTTGGCGGGAAAACTCCTCTCCCCTCCCCCTTTGTGGTATAAATAGAGCGGAGTGTCCGCCATTTTGCTCAGTCTTGAAGACCGCACGTTTGCCCTCTAGAGGTTAAAAATAAAGTAATGATAAGACAAAATTATATTCCCACGGTACCGATGCGAATTATAGTATGGTACCGAGAACAATCTCTAGTCAGCGATATAACCTCCTGGTACCGATGCCATTAATATATTGGTACCAAAAAAAATAAATAAATAACCACCCAGCGACATAATTCAAATGGTACCGATGCAAATTATAGTATGATACCGAGAAAAAACACGATATCCACTCACTGACACCGAGTGGGGCCGGCGGGTGGGTTGTGTGAATGCACAGATGGCCACTCGAAGAACATCAGTTACAGGTAAGCAACCTGCTTTTCTTCGTCGTGGCCTCTGTGCATCACACATATGGGTGATTCGCAAGCTCACCAGACTCGGCGGAGGGAGGTGTCATCATCGAAGAACGGATGAGAGAACAGCTCTACCAAAAGAGCAATCCCATTTGGCACGTACATCAAGCCGATAATGCTTGGCAAAAGTACATGGACCAGCCCAGATCGCAGCTCTGCAGATGTCTTGCAACGGAACCCCTGTGGTAAAAGCGAATGAGGTCGCTACTGCTCACGTAGAATGGCCAGTTGGAGAGACAGGTAAGTCTATTTTCGATAGCTGATAAGCCAGGACAATAGTCTGGGTGATCCAATTAGAGAGTCTCTGAGATGGTATCGGTGATCCCTTTTTTTGCTAGGAGTATTTAACAAAAAATCTATTTGTAGTACGAAAAGATTCGGTGCGGGATCTGTAGAAAGCCAAGCAGTGGCGAACATCAAGCGTGTGTAGAGCACATTCTATCGGGGTCGACGGCGACGGAAAGAAAGCCGGTAGAACGATATCCTGATTCAGGTGGAACGATGTGGCCACCTTGGGTAAAAAGGAGAAATCCATCCGAAGGACAACTTTTTCCTTATGGAAGTTCAGAAATGGTGGGTCTATGAGGAGAGCACAAAGTTCGCTAGTTCTTTGTGCTGATGTAACCGCTACTAGAAAGGCAGTTTTCCATGACACCAGGCATAAGTCTGCAGTTGCTAAAGGCTCGAACGGTGGTTTGGTAAGTGCTTGGAGTACTACAGAAAGACTCCACGTCGGCATGACGGGGCGAATAGACGGATGTAAATTTTGTAGTCTCTTAATGAAGCGCCGAACCAGCAGTTGTGAGAAGACTGATAACCCGTGTATAGTGCCACGATAATGGGATATAGTGGCTGCATAAACTTTGATGGATGATGGTTTAAGTCCCTCATGATGCAAATGTAAAAGAAATTGTAAGATATTGGTGACTGAAGCCGTTGCAGGGGAGAACGAATGGCACTCTGCAAAAGAGGAGAATCTTCTCCATTTAGCTGTATAGGAACGACGAGTGGACGGTCTTAATGCAGATTCGATAATCGCCTGAATTTCTCTGTCAGTAGGCATCAGTATTGTGATATTCGCTGTCGAATTCGAAGTCGGAGCTGTATATACCGTGTGTTGAGGTCACCCGTAGCGTGAGGTGTCCCCGGTACCGACTCGGTGATGTGAATCAGGTGATTCGCCATGCTGTCAGCTTCACAGAGAATATATTCGGATGGCTGATCACTCCTCCTTGTTGTGTTAACAAGTGCGGGAGAGTTCGTAGATGAAGGAACATTCTTCTGGACAGCAGCAAGAGAGTGGTAAACCATGGTTGTCTCGGCCACCACAGAGTCACTAGTATCCCCGTGGCCCTGTCCTGGGCTATTTTTGTTACCACTCTCGTCAGAAGTGGGATTGGAGGAAACGCATAAAAAGTCATGTTGCTCCAAGGGACCATGAGAGCATCTCCCATCGATCCCAGCCCGACGCCCGCTCTGGAACAGTAAAGGGCACACAGGCTGTTCTGTTGCGTGGTGAACAGGTCCACATCCGGATAACCCCACAGGCGGAAGAGTCCCTCGCAAAGTTGTTTGTCCAACTCCCATTCGTGGGTTGTCGACATCTGTCTGCTTAATGTATCTGCTTTGACGTTGTCGGTTCCAGCCAGGTAAACCGCCATAAGCGTGATGTTCCTTGGTATGCACCAGTCCCAAATGTCCATCGATAGGCATGCTAAGGCTGGAGATTTTGTGCCCCCCTGCTTGTTGATATAGAAAACTGCCGCTACATTGTCTGATGCAATTTGGACAATTTGACGGCATAACACAGTCTCGAAAGCCTTGAGGGCGTTGAAAATCGCCACAAGTTCCAGGAAGTTGATGTGTTTCCTCGCCTCTCGTCAGTTCCAAGTACCTTGGACCCGAAGTCCCAAACATGCCGCACCCCATCCCAGGAGGGATGTGTCGGTGTACAGAGTCGTCGTTGGCCAAGGTGGTCGAAACGGGGTGCCGATCGACAGGTTGTCTGTGATGGTCCACCATGTTAAAGTGTGAAGGACTGCATGCGGGATCCGAATCTGCTTGGTGACGGGATCTTGTTGCGGTTGAAAAAACAGCGTTGAAGAACAGTTGAATGGGTCGCATACGTAACCTGGCATATGGGACAAT